TCCCACCGGGACCAACCCCAGGATTAACCCCCCCATTCCCTGGGAATTCCCAAGACTCCTCCCAAGGATTAACCCTCCGGAATTCCCAATATTCCTTCCGGGACCAACCCCAGGATCAACCCCCCCATTCCCCAGGAATTCCTCCTGGAATTCCCAAAATTCCCTCCATTAACCCCCCCATTCCCTGGGAATTCCCAAGACTCCTCCCAGGGATTAACCCCCTGGAATTCCCAGAATTCCCACCGGGACCAACCCCCAGGATCAACCCCCCCATTCCTTGGGAATTCCCAAGACTCCTCCCAGGGATTAACCCCCTGGAATTCCCAAAATTCCCACCGGGACCAACCCCAGGATTAACCCCCCCATTCCTCAGGAATTCTTCCTAGAATTCCTGAAATTCCCACCGGGACCAACCCCAGGATCAACCCCCCCATTCCTTGGGAATTCCCTCTGGAATTAACCTCCCTCTCCCCCTGGAATTCCCAAAATTCCCTCCATCAACCCCCCCATTCCCTGGGAATTCCCAACACTCCTCCCAGGGATTAACCCCCCGGAATTCCCGATATTCCGGGCGATCCTCCCCCAATTCCCCCCCCCGCTTTTTCCCCCCCCCCCCCTTCTCCCCCCAAAAAATTCCCAGCCTTCCCATGGAATCCCAGTGCGACTATTCCATGTATTTCCCGGCCGTGCCCTTCCCGCCCCGGGAATTCCTGGCGGGAGAATCCGGAGGGTACCGGGCCCTCCCCCGCCGGAACCACCTTTACCTGGGAGAGACCGTCCGCTTCCTGCTGGTGCTCCGCTGCCGCCCCGGGAATTCCGGGAATGCCGGGAACGCCGGGAATTCCGGGAACGCCGGGAATTCCGGGAATTCCGGGAACAACCCCCCTCGCACCCCCTGGGCCGAACTGGCCACCTCTTTGTCCGCCTTGGCCACGGTGGCTCCCGGAGGATCCGGAGCCGGGGATTCCTCGGGAATTCCTCGGGATGGGGACGGAGCCGGGAATGACGACGGGGAGAACCCGGAGAATCCCGCGGTTTTCCGGGAATGCCGAGCCCTCCTGACCCACAGCAAAGGACCCCCCGGCTGTCCCGGGGCCGGGGTGGGTGACGGGGGGAATGTCGGGAATGTCGGGAATGTCGGGATTGGAATACTGGGAATGGAGGTGGGAACGAGGAGTCGGTGGTTTTTTGGGAATTCCGAGTGTTCCCGGTGGAAAATTTGGGATTCTTGGGGTGTCCCGGGGCTGGGATGGGTGGTAGAGGGAACACTGGGAATACTGGGAATATTGGGAATGTTGGGATAGAGGGGATACTGGGAATATTGGGAATGGTGGGAATGTCGGGATAGGGATGGAGGTGGGAACAGGGAGCCACTGGTTTTTTGGGAATTCCGAGTGTTCCCGGTGGAAAATTTGGGATTCTTGGGGTGTCCCGGGGCTGGGATGGGGATAGAGGGGATACTGGGAATCCTGGGAATACCAGGAATACCGGGATAGGGATGGAACCGGGAATGGGGAGACGGAACCGGGAGCGGGGAGGTGTCGGAGCCGCCGGTTTTCCGGGAATTCCGGGCGTTCCCGATGGAAAAATCTGGGATCCCTGGGCTGGGGTGGGGGATAATTGAAACACTGGGAATCCTGGGAATGCCGGGAACGTTGGGCTGGGGCTGGATCCCGGTTTTTCCCTGCCCAGATCCCGGTGGAGGATCCGATCGTGGCCACGGACGAGGTGATTTTCCCGCTCACCGTTTCCCTGGATAAGCTCCCGCCCGGCACCGGCAAAGCCAAGGTGGCCACGGGGGGACCAGTTTGGGGACAGTTTGGGGACAATTTGGGGACTTTGGGAATGGGAGGAGTCCTTGGGAAGGGGAGGAATCCTTGGGGACAATTTGGGGACCTTGGGAGTGGGAGGAGTCCTTGGGAAGGGGAGGAATCCTTGGGAATGGGAGGAGTCCTTGGGGACAATTTTTGGGGACCTTGGGGACAATCTGGGGATTTTGGGAATGGGAAGAGTCCTTGGGAATGGGAGGAGACCTTGGGAATGATGGGAGGAATCCTTGGGAAGGGGAGGAATCCTTGGGAATGGGAGGAGTCCTTGGGGACAGTTTTTGGGGACTTTAGGGATGATTTGGGGACTTTGGGAATAGGAGGAGTCCTTGGGAATGGGAGGAGTCCTTGGGGACAATTTTTGGGACCTTGGGGACAATTTGAGGACCTTGGGGACAATTTGGGACCTTGGGGACAATTCGGGGACTTTGGGAATGGGAGGAATCCTTGGGAATGGGAGGAGTCCTTGGGGACAATTTTTGGGGACTTTGGGAATGGGAGGAATCCTTGGGAACGATGGGAGGAATCCTTGGGGACAATTTTTGGGGACCTTGGGGACGATTTGGGGACTTTGGGAATAGGAGGAGTCCTTGGGAATGGGAGGACACCTTGGGGACAATTTTTGGGACCTTGGGGACAATTTGGGGACCTTGGGGACAATTTGGGGACTTTGGGAATGGGAGGAATCCTTGGGAAGGGGAGGAGTCCTTGGGGACAATATTTGGGACCTTGGGGACTATTCGGGGACGTTGGGAATGGGAGGAATCCTTGGGAAGGGGAGGAATCCTTGGGGACAATTTTTGGGACTTTGGGGACAATTTGGGGACCTTGGGAATGGGAGGAATCCTTGGGAAGGGGACGAGTCCTTGGGGACAATTTTTGGGACCTTGGGGACAATTTGGGGACCTTGGGAATGGGAGGAATCCTTGGGAACGATGGGAGGAATCCTTGGGGACAATTTTTGGGGACCTTGGGAATGGGAGGAGTCCTTGGGGACAATTTTTGGGGACCTTGGGGACAACGTGGGGACTTTGGGGACGATTTGGGGACAATTTGGGGACAATTTGGGGATCTTGGGTATGGGAAGAGACCTCGGGACAAGGAGGAGACCTTGGGGACAACCAGGGGACAATTTGGGGACAACCAAGGGACGATGTGGGGACCTTGGGGACAATTTGGGGACCTTGGGGACACTGGGGGGGTCCTGGCAGTTGTCCCTTGATGTGTCCCTTGTCCCCAGACAACGGTGACAGCGTGACAGTGTGACAGTGTCCCCTGACCTGTCCCCTGACCTGTTCCTTGTCCCCAGATGGTGGTGACAGTGTGACAATGTCCCCTGAGGTGTCCCCTGAGGTGTCCCATGACCTGTCTCTTGTCCCCAGACGATGGTGACACTGTGACAATGTCCCCTGAGGTGTCCCCTGACCTGTCCCCTTGTCCCTTGTCCCCAGACGATGGTGACAGTGTGGCAGCAGGACTGAGGTGTCCCCCTGTCCCCTCAGGTGTCCCCTGAGGTGTCCCCTGACCTGTCCCTTGTCCCCAGACGATGGTGACAGTGTGGCAGAGGGACTGAGGTGTCCCCCTGTCCCCTCAGGTGTCCCCTGAGGTGTCCCCTGACCTGTCCCTTGTCCCCAGACGGTGGTGACAGTGTGGCAGAGGGACTGAGGTGTCCCCCTGTCCCCTCAGGTGTCCCCTGAGGTGTCCCCTTGTCCCTTGACCTGTCCCTTGTCCCCAGACGGTGGTGACAGTGTGGCAGAGGGACTGAGGTGTCCCCCTGTCCCCTGAGGTGTCCCCTGAGGTGTCCCCTGACCTGTCCCTTGTCCCCAGACGATGGTGACAGTGTCCCTTGTCCCCTGAGGTGTCCCCCTGTTCCCTGCCATGTCCCCTGACCTGTCCCTTGTCCCCAGACAATGGTGACACTGTGACAATGTCCCCTGAGGTGTCCCCTGACCTGTCTCTTGTCCCCAGATGGTGGTGACAGTGTGGCAGCAGGACTGAGGTGTCCCCCTGTCCCCTCAGATGTCCCCTGAGGTGTCCCCTGAGGTGTCCCCTGACCTGTCCCTTGTCCCCAGATGATGGTGACAGTGTGGCAGCAGGACTGAGGTGTCCCCTTGTCCCCTGACGTGTCCCTTGTCCCCAGATCGTGGTGACAGTGTGGCAGAGGGACGTGGAGCTGCAGGAGGGGGGGGTTACCTGTGGCTCTCAGGTGTCCCCTGAGGTGTCCCCCTGTCCCCTGAGGTGTCCCCTGACGTGTCCCCTTGTCCCCTGACGTGTCCCCTTGTCCCCTGACGTGTCCCTTGTCCCCAGATCGTGGTGACAGTGTGGCAGAGGGATGTGGAGCTGCAGGAGGGGGGGGTTACCTGTGGCTCTCAGGTGTCCCCTGAGGTGTCCCCCTGTCCCCTGAGGTGTCCCCTGACGTGTCCCCTTGTCCCCTGACGTGTCCCCTTGTCCCCTGACGTGTCCCTTGTCCCCAGATGGTGGTGACAGTGTGGCAGAGGGACGTGGAGCCTCCGGAGCTGCAGGAGGGAGGGGGGTTACCTGTGACTCTCAGGTGTCCCCTAAGGTGTCCCCCTGTCCCCTGAGGTGTCCCCTGACGTGTCCCCTTGTCCCTTGACCTGTCCCTTGTCCCCAGATCGTGGTGACAGTGTGGCAGAGGGATGTGGAGCTGCAGGAGGGGGGGGGTTACCTGTGGCTCTCAGGTGTCCCCTGAGGTGTCCCCTGAGGTGTCCCCTGTCCCCAGCTGATGGTGACAGTGTCCCTTGTCCCCAGATCGTGGTGACAGTGTGACAATGTCCCCTGAGGTGTCCCCTGAGGTGTCCCTTGTCCCCAGATCGTGGTGACAGTGTGGCAGAGGGACGTGGAGCCTCCGGAGCTGCAGGAGGGGGGGGGTTACCTGTGGCTCTCAGGTGTCCCCTGAGGTGTCCCCCTGTCCCCTGCCATGTCCCCTGACGTGTCCCTTGTCCCCAGATCGTGGTGACAGTGTGGCAGAGGGACGTGGAGCCTCCGGAGCTGCAGGAGGGGGGGGGTTACCTGCGGCTGCTCCAGGGCCGCGCCCCCGCCCAGGTGTTCCGGCAGCACCGCGGGGCCTTCAAGGCGCAGGGTGGGCACTTTGTCCCCTAAAAAAACGTCCCCAAAACCGTCCCCTGAGGTGTCTCCGGGGTTGTCCCCTGAGTGCCACCCCCTTGTCCCCGCAGTGAGCACCCTCCTGACCGTGCTGCCACCGCCCAGGGTCCGCTGTCGGCAGGTGACGGTGTCCGGGAAGTACCTGACGGTGCTCAAAGGTGAGGGGGGACATTTGGGGACATCTGGGGATGTTTGGGGACATTTGGGGACACAGGGGAGGTGGGAGGGATGGAGGTGACATGGGAGGGACAGGGGGACATGGGAGGGACAGAGGGACATGGAGGGGACAGGGGGAGAGGAAGGGGTGAGGTGTCACCAGGTGACGGTGTCCGGGAAGGACCTGACGGTGCTCAAAGGTGAGAGGGGGACATTTGGGGACATCTGGGGATGTTTGGGGACATCTGGGGATGTTTGGGGACATTTGGGGACATGGGAGGGACAGGAGGATGTGAAGAGACAAGGGAGGGACAGAGGGACATGGAGGGGACAGGGGAGAGGAAGGGGTGAGGTGTCACCAGGTGACGGTGTCTGGGAAGGACCTGACGGTGCTCAAAGGTGAGGGGGGGACATTTGGGGATGTTTGGGGACATCTGGGGACATGGGAGGATGTTTGGGGACATTTGGGGACACAGAGGAGGTGGGAGGGATGGAGGTGACATGGGAGGGACAGGGGAGAGGAAGGGGTGAGGTGTCACCAGGTGACGGTGTCCAGGAAGGACCTGACGGCGCTCAAAGGTGAGAGGGGGACATTTGGGGACGTTTGGGGACATCTGGGGATGTTTGGGGACATTTGGGGACATGGGGGAGGTGGGAGGGACAGGAGGATGTGAAGAGACAAGGGAGGGACAGAGGGACATGGAGGGGACAGGGGGAGAGGAAGGGGTGAGGTGTCGGCAGGTGACGGTGTCCGGGAAGGACCTGACGGTGCTCAAAGGTGAGGGGGGGACATTTGGGGACATCTGGGGATGTTTGGGGACATTTGGGGACACAGGGGAGGTGGGAGGGACAGGAGGATGTGAAGGGACAGGGGGACATTTGGGGACAGGAGGGGGTGAGGTGTCAGCAGGTGACGGTGTCCGGGAAGGACCTGACGGTGCTCAAAGGTGAGAGGGGGAATTTGGGGATGTTTGGGGACATCTGGGGACATTTGGGGACATGGGCGGGGCAGAGGGACATGGGGGGACAAGGAGGGAACATTCCCAATGTCCCCAAATGCTCCCAAATGTCCTCAATCTCCCCCAATGTCCCCAAATCCCCTAAAATGTCCCCAATGTCCCCAATGTCCCCAAATATCCCCAATCCCCCCAAATGTCCCCAATCCCCCCAAATGTCCCCAATCCCCCCCAATCCCTCCAATCCCCCCAATCCCCCCGATGTCCCCAAATGTCCCCTGGTGTCCCCAAATGTGCCCTGGTGTCCCCAGTGCTGAATGGGAGCTCCCAGGAGGAGATTTCCCTGTGGGACGTGCAGATCCTGCCCCGATATCCCCCAATCCCAACGTCCCCAACACCCCCAATCCCCCCAATCCCCCCGATGTCCCCAATGTCCCCAAATGTCCCCTGGTGTCCCCAAATGTCCCCTGGTGTCCCCAGTGCTGAATGGGAGCTCCCAGGAGGAGATTTCCCTGTGGGACGTGCAGATCCTGACCCGACATCCCCCAATCCCAACGTCCCTAATCCCCCAATGTCCCCAATCCCCCCGATGTCCCCAATGTCCCAAATGTCCCCAAATGTCCCCTGGTGTCCCCAAATGTGCCCTGGTGTCCCCAGTGCTGAATGGGAGCTCCCAGGAGGAGATTTCCCTGTGGGACGTGCAGATCCTGCCCCGACATCCCCCAATCCCAACGTCCCCAACACCCCCAATCCCCCCGATGTCCCCGATGTCCCCAATGTCCCCAAATGTCCCCTGGTGTCCCCAAATGTCCCCTGGTGTCCCCAAATGTCCCCTGGTGTCCCCAGTGCTCCCTGGGTGCTCCCAGGAGGAGATTTCCCTGTGGGACGTGCAGATCCTGCCCCGACATCCCCCAATCCCAACGTCCCCAACACCCCCAATGTCCCCAATCCCCCTGATGTCCCCAATGTCCCCCGATGTCCCCCGATGTCCCCAAATGTCCCCAAATGTGCCCTGGTGTCCCCAAATGTGCCCTGGTGTCCCCAGTGCTGAATGGGAGCTCCCAGGAGGAGATTTCCCTGTGGGACGTGCAGATCCTGCCCAATTTCAACGCCAGTTACCTGCCCGTGATGCCCGACGGCTCCGTCCTGCTCGTCGACGACGTCTGGTGAGGGGACACCAACCCCACCACCCCCCTCCTGGGGACATTTGGGGACAATCAGGGGTGGCAGGGGGCCCAGGGGGCCTTGGGGACAGTGTGGGGACATCGGGGACAGTGTGGGGACGTTGGGGATGTGGGGGGAGCTTGGGGACAGTGTGGGGACATCAGGGGTGGGAGGGGACCAAGAGGACCTTGGGGACAGTCTGGGGACCTTGGGGACAATGGGGGGGACCTTGGGGATGGCAGGGGACCAAGGGGACCTTGGGGACAGTGTGGTGACATCAGGGGTGGGAGGGGACCTTGGGGACCTTGGGGACAACATGGGGACCTTGGGGAGAGTGTGGTGACCTTGGGGACAGTGTGGGGACATCAGGGGTGGGAGGGGACCTTGGGGACCTTGGGGACAGTGTGGTGACATCAGGGGTGGGAGGGGACCTTGGGGACAGTGTGGAGACTTTGGGGACAGTGTGGGGACCTTGGGGACAGTGTGGGGACATCAGGGGTGGGAGGGGACCTTGGGGACCTTGGGGACAATGGGGGGGACCTTGGGGATGGCAGGGGATCTTGGGGACAGTGTGGGGACATCAGGGGTGGGAGGGGACCTTGGGAATGTCTGGGGGGACCTTGGGGACAGTGTGGGGACCTTGGGGACAGTGTGGGGACATCAAGGGTGGGAGGGGACCTTGGGGACAGTCTGGGGACCTTGGGGACAGTCTGGAGACCTTGGGGACAGTGTGGGGACATCGGGGTGGGAGGGGACCTTGGGGACAGTGTGGAGACCTTGGGGACAACATGGGGACCTTGGGGACAATGAGGGGACCTTGGGGACAGTCTGGAGACCTTGGGGACAACGTGGGCACCTTGGGGACAGTGTGGAGACCTCGGGGTGTCCCCGAGGTGTCCCTGAGGTGCCCCCCTGCCCCCCGACAGCCACCACTCCAGGGAGGTGCCCGTGGGCACCTTGGGGACAGTGTGGGGACATCAGGGATGGGAGGGGACCTTGGGGACAGTGTGGTGACCTCGGGGTGTCCCCGAGGTGTCCCTGAGGTGCCCCCCTGCCCCCCGACAGCCACCACTCCAGGGAGGTGCCCGTGGGCACCTTGGGGACAGTGTGGGGACATCAGGGATGGGAGGGGACCTTGGGGACAGTGTGGTGACCTCGGGGTGTCCCCGAGGTGTCCCCGAGGTGTCCCTGAGGTGCCCCCCTGCCCCCTGACAGCCACCACTCCGGGGAGGTGCCCGTGGGCGCGTTCTGCCGCGTGTCCGGGGCGGGCGCGGGCTGTCCCTGTGCCCTCAGTGCCCTGGAGGAGCACAACTTCCTCTTCCAGCTCCAGGCCCCCGAGAGGCCCCCCGAGGACGCCAAGGAGGTGAGGGGACGCTCGGGGACACCGGGGGTGGCCTTGGGGACACCGGGGGTGGCCTTGGGGACAATTGTCAGGGGTCAAAGGCCTCGTCCGAGGGGCTTCGTCCGGTCCTGGGGACGCCAAGACCCCCCCCCTGGTTGGGGTGTCCTTGGGGTTGGGGACACTCAGGGTGGCTTTGGGGACACTTGGGGACACCGGGGTGGCCTTGGGGACACCGGGGGTGGCCTTGGGGACAATTGTCAGGGGTCAAAGGCCTCGTCCGAGGGGCTTCGTCCGGTCCTGGTGACACCAAAACTCCCCTGGTTGGGGTGTCCTTGGGGTTGGGGACACTCAGGGTGGCTTTGGGGACACTCAGGGTGGCCTTGGGGACACTGAGAGGACCTTGGGGACACCGGGGTGGCCTTGGGGACAACCATCAGGGGCCACCACCCTCAGCCAGGGGTCCTGGGGACACCAAGACCCCCCCCCTGGTTGGGGTGTCCTCGGGGTTGGGGACACTCAGGGAGGGTTTGGGGACACTTGGTGACACCGGGGTGGCTTTGGGGACACTTGGGGACCCCGGGGTGGCCTTGGGGACCCTGGGGGTGTCACCTGTGTCCCCTGTGTCCCCTGCCCAGGGCCTGGAGGTGCCCTTGGTGGCCGTGGTGCAGTGGTCGACGCCGAAGCTGCCCTTCACCAGCAGCATCTACACCCACTACAGGTGAGTGGCCCCAGATGTCCCCAAATGTCCCCAAACGTCCCCAAACGTCCCCAAGTGTCCCCAGGGCCACCTCTGAGCCGTGGCACCGCTGTCACCTCCCTGGCACGTCCTCGTCATGTCATTGTCACCTCGTCACCACCTCCTCAGGTCTTTGTGTGGCTCCTCTGGGGCTCCCCGGTGGTGCCACCACGGTGCCACCACGATGTCCCTGCTGTCCCCACGGTGTCCCCACGGTGTCCCCACGATGTCCCCAGACCCTCCTGGCTGCCCAGAGCCACCCCTGGAGGTGCCACCACACCACTGTCCCCATGTCACCCCCTCCTCAGGTCATTGTGTAGCTCCTCTGGGGCTCCCCGGTGGTGCCACCACGATGCCACCACGATGTCCCCAATGTCCCCACGATGTCCCCAATGTCCCCAGACCCTCCTGGCTGCCCAGAGCCACCCCATGAGGTGCCACCATGTCACTGTCCCATCACTGTCCCCATGTCACCACCTTTACCAGCTCCCCTGCGGCTCCCCGGTGGTGCCACCACGATGTCCCCGTGATGCCACCACGATGTCCCCGATGTCCCCAGACCCTCCAGGCTGCCCAGAGCCACCCCTGGAGGTGCCACCACGTCACTGTCCCCATGTCACCCCCTCCTCAGGTCTTTGTGTGGCTCCTCTGGGGCTCCCCGGTGGTGCCACCACGATGCCACCACGATGTCCCTGTGATGCCACCACGATGTCCCCAATGTCCCCACGATGTCCCCAATGTCCCCAGACCCTCCTGGCTGCCCAGAGCCACCCCTGGAGGTGCCACCACGTCACTGTCCCATCACTGTCCCCATGTCACCACCTTTACCAGCTCCCCCGGGGCTCCCCGGTGGTGCCGCCACGATGCCACCACGATGTCCCCAATGTCCCCACGATGTCCCCAACGCCCCCGCTGTCCCCCCCAGGCTGCCCAGAGCCACCCCTGGAGGTGCCACCATGTCACTGTCCCCATGTCACCCCCTCCCCAGGTCTTTGTGTAGCTCCCCTGGGGCTCCCCGGTGGTGCCACCACAATGTCCCTGTGATGTCCCCAATGTCCCCACGATGTCCCCAACGCCCCCGCTGTCCCCCCCAGGCTGCCCAGCATCCGGCTGGAGCGCCCCCGTTTCGTGATGACGGCCACGTGCGAGTCGCCGGTGCCGGCGCGGCGCCGCTTCACCGTCACCTACACCCTGCGCAACGAGCTGCAGGACTTCCTGGCCGTCAGGCTCGTCTGGACACCCGACACTGGTGGGGACATTTGGGGACACTGGGGGGGTTGGGGACATCCAGGGACATCAGGGGAGTTGGGGATGTTGGGGACATTGGGGACTTCCTGGCCGTCAGGCTCGTCTGGACACCCGAGACTGGTGGGGACATTTGGGGACATCGGGGACATCCAGGGACATTGGGGGGATTGGGGACATGGGGGGATTGGGACATCCAGGGACATTGGGGGGATTGGGGACATCGGGGGGATTGGGGACATCCAGGGACATTGGGGGAGTTGGGGATGTTGGGGACATTGGGGACTTCCTGGTTGTCGGGCTCGTCTGGACACCTGACACTGGTGGGGACATCGGGGGGATTGGGGACATTGGGGACATCCAGGGACATTGGGGGGATTGGGGACATCCAGGGATATTGGGGGGATTGGGGACATCCAGGGATATTGGGGGGATTGGGGACATTGGGGGGTTTGGGGACATTGGGGGGGATTGGGGACATTGGGGGGTTTGGGGACATTGGGGGGGATTGGGGACGTTGGGGGTGTTGGGGGGAATTGGGGACATTTGGAGACGTTGGGGGGGATTGGGGACGTTGGGGGGGTTGGGGGGGATTGGGGACATCCAGGGACATCAGGGGAGTTGGGGATGTTGGGGACATTGGGGACTTCCTGACCGTCGGGCTCGTCTGGACACCCGACACGGGTGGGGACGTTGGGGGACATCGGGGACATCCAGGGACATTGGGGGGATTGGGGACATTTGGGGGGATTGGGGACATCCAGGGACATTGGGGGGATTGGGGACATTGGGGACATCCAGGGACATTGGGGGGATTGGGGACATTTGGGGGGATTGGGGACATCCAGGGACATTGGGGGTGTTGGGGACATCCAGGGACATTGGGGGGGTTGGGGACATCCAGGGACATTGGGGGGATTGGGGACATTGGGGACATCCAGGGACATTGGGGGGATTGGGGACATTTGGGGGGATTGGGGACATCCAGGGACATTGGGGGGGTTGGGGACATCCAGGGACATTGGGGGGGTTGGAGGGGATTGGGGACATTGGGGGGAATGGGGACATTTGGGGGGGTTGGGGACATTTGGGGACGTTGGAGGGAATTGGGGACATTTGCGGGGATTGGGGACATTTGGGGACATTTCAGGGGATTGGGGATGTTGGGGGTGTTGGGGACATTTGGGGGACATTGGGGGGATTGGGGGGATTGGGGACATTGGGGGGATTGGGGACATTTGGGGACATTGGGGACATTGGGGGTGTTGGGGGGGATTGGGGACATTTGGGGGGATTGGGGGCATTTGGGGGAATTGGGGACATTTGGGGGGATTGGGAACATTTGGGGGAATTGGGGACATTGGAGGGATTGGGAACATTTGGGGGAATTGGGGACATTGGGGGGATTGGGGACATTGGGGGGGATTGGGGACATTTGGGGGGATTGGGGACATTTGGGGGGATTGGGGACATTGGGGGGATTGGGGACATTTGGGGGGATTGGGGACATTGGGGGGGATTGGGGGCATTTGGGGGGATTGGGGACATTTGGGGACAGGGACAGGGACATGTGGGGGGATCCCATTCCCACAATTCCCACATTCATTCCCACATTAATTCCCACATTCCTATAATTAATTCCCACATTAATTCCCAAAATTCCCAGGAAAAGCCCCGTCCCTTCCCGGCTCCCTGGACTCCATCGTGTGGGGACAGGGACAGGGACACGGGGGAGAAATCTCATTCCCACCACTCCCACATTAATTCCCACAATTCCCCCGATTCCTGCATTCCCATAATTCCCAAATTTCCCCCCTAAATTCCCAGGAAAGGCCCCGTCCCTGCCCGGCTCCCTGGACTCCATCGTGTGCCACACCCCCCTCACCAACCTGGGATACTCCCGGAAAGGCAGCGCCAGGACCATCCGGGTGGCATTCCAGGCGCTCCGGGAGGGGCTCTTCGAGGTGACACCAGTGTTCCCAGTGTTCCCAGTACCCCCAGTGTCCCCATTCCCAGTCCCAGTGTCCTCCCAGTACCCCCCAGTGTTCCCAGTACCCCCCAGTGTCCCCATTCCAGGCGCTCCGGGAGGGGCTCTTCGAGGTGACACCAGTGTTCCCAGTGTTCCCAGTACCCCCAGTGTCCTCCCAGTACCCCCCAGTGTCCTCCCAGTACCCCCCAGTGTTCCCAGTACCCCCAGTGTCCTCCCAGTACCCCCCAGTGTCCTCCCAGTACCCCCCAGTGTTCCCAGTACCCCCAGTGTCCTCCCAGTACCCCCCAGTGTCCCCATTCCCAGTTCCCAGTGTCCCCATCCAGGCGCTCTTTCGGGAGGGGCTCTTCGAGGTGAAACCAGTGTTCCCAGTTGTCCCCAGACCCCGTGTCCTCCCAACCCCCATTGTCCTCCCAGTCCCCCCCAGTGTCCCCATTCCCAATTCCAGTGTCCCCATTCCCCGTCCCCGGTCCCCAATTTCCAGGGCGCTCCGGGCGGGGCTCCTCTTCCGATGGTGACCACCCGTTGTTCCAGTAACCCCCCCAGTGTTCCGCCCAGTACACCCCAGTGTTCCCAGTACCCCCAGTGTCCTCCCAGTACCCCCCAGTGTTCCCAGTACCCCCCAGTGTCCTCCCAGTACCCCCAGTGTCCTCCCAGTACCCCCCAGTGTTCCCAGTACCCCCCCGTGTCCCCATTCCCAGTCCCAGTGTCCCCATTCCCAGTCCCAGTGTCCCCATTCCAGGCGCTCCGGGAGGGGCTCTTCGAGGTGACACCAGTGTTCCCAGTGTTCCCAGTACCCCCAGTGTCCTCCCAGTACCCCCCAGTGTTCCCAGTACCCCCCAGTGTCCCCATTCCCAGTCCCAGTGTCCCCATTCCAGGCGCTCCGGGAGGGGCTCTTCGAGGTGACAACACCATTCCCAGTGTTCCCAGTGTTCCCAGTGTCCTCCCAGTACCCCCCAGTGTCCCCAGTACCCCCCAGTGTCCCCATTCCCAATCCCAGTGTCCCCATTCCAGGCGCTCCGGGAGGGGCTCTTCGAGGTGACACCAGTGTTCCCAGTACCCCCAGTGTCCTCCCAGTACCCCCCAGTGTCCTCCCAGTACCCCCCAGTGTCCTCCCAGTACCTCCCAGTGTTCCCCAGTACCCCCCAGTGTCCCCATTCCCAGTCCCAGTGTCCCCATTCCCAGTCCCAGTGTCCCCATTCCAGGCGCTCCGGGAGGGGCTCTTCGAGGTGACAACACCATTCCCAGTGTTCCCAGTACCCCCAGTGTCCTCCCAGTACCCCCCAGTGTTCCCAGTACCCCCCAGTGTCCTCCCAGTACCCCCAGTGTCC